GGGATCAGGCAGTGTTTCGTTCTGCTGTGCATGGGGTCGCTATGAGTTGGAAATCACTCAACGACACTTAACAACAACAACAACAACATACTCTAATAGCATATCACTCATAAGTATCTCATTCCTTTTATGCCTTTGTTTATGTATGTATGTAATGAAATCCTCCACCCCTCTGTTGAAGCAGCCATGACCTGGCTTTGTGATCTAAATTCCTGTTCACATCTTCAGAAATGAACAATTTAAAATTATGATGAAACCAAATAATGGAAGATGAATTGGATTATTTCCTTTCTTGACCAAAACCTATTTTTGTTCCCAAACAAAATTTGGAAGACAGGCATTTCAAGTCGCACTGAAGTAATATACATTATCAATAATTTCAAAAGTAGAACTTGTCACACAAATGCTATTGGACCCATATGAACTTGTGTTATATTTTTCCTTTATATTTTGACTTATGAACCACACTTAGAAACCTGAATAATGGGAGAAAAAAGAGTTTTGCCTCTCAGCAGTCCATTTTAAACTGTTCTATTGCTTAGATTTTAAAACTTATTTTGAGTAATTTAATTCTTATCTTGTTCCACTAAATACATTAGGTTAAGCGCTAATATGAGTCATTCATAGAAACTCATCCAGCTTGCTTCTTAAAAGGTGTGAACAATTATTTTTCTAGCCATTGCCTAATAAAAATAGCTTAAACCTTCACAGCTACTACCTGTTTGACAGTTGTGGCATGTATGTTGTTATGATGCTGACCAAGTTTCAGTGGAGCTCCCAGAAATTGGACTAGGAAGAAAGCTTTGGAAATCTACTTCTGGAGTCTAGACAATGAAAACCCTATGGATAACAATAGAACATTGTCTGAGCTGCAATTGATCATGGGGATGGTGGGGTATTCTGTTCAATTGTACAAAGGTCATCATGTCTCAGGGCTGACTGAGTGGCAGATCACAATTATTCTTCTAAACACAAACTTAAATTATCAGTTACATTTTGTCCATTAATTTTGCTACATCTACCAATACTCTGTGCACTACAATCTCCAATTCCTTCAAATAGTATTTGTTTTAAATGCCACTGTAGCATGGCCAGTGAGCTCAGCTGGTTAAAGCATGGTGCTAATAAATGCCACTGTGTATAACTATATATTAAGATTTTCTGGTCAAGGAACCAGTGTAGTGATATTGTATGGGGTCAATATTTAATACTTTGTTCTTCTCTGATTTTTGTCCATTTGGTGTATAGATGCAGGAATCATGTAGATTGAGTTAAACTGTCATCACTATGATCTTTATGACTCTAGTGAAAAATACAGCTAGATCTAAAGCCATAATCAGGAGACCAACTACATCCCCTGCCCCAGTCCCCAGATGAAGGTATATTTGAGATATAATACTACTGAATAGAATGTGAAACTATTCATAGTGCAATGTTACATGTTGTTGTTGTTAGGTGCTGTGGAGTTGTCTGCAACTCACAGCAACCCTTGCACAACAGAACGAAACACCGCCTTGTCCTGTGCCAGCTCCACGATCCTTGCTATACCTGAGCCCATCGCCATAGTCACTATGTCAATCCATCTGTCTTGTTGACCCTCCACCTTATCATGCATGACATCCTTCTCCAGGGAATGGTCCCTTCTTACAACAAGACCAAATTAGGTGAGACAAAGCCTGGCCATTCTTGCTTCCATGGAGCATTCTGGCTGCATTTCATCCAGGACGTTTTTGTTAGTTCTTTTAGCAGTCCATGGTACTTTCGACATTCTTAACAAGCACCAAAACTCAAAAGGTCAATTCTTCTTTGATCTTCCTTATTCATTGTCCAGCTCTCACATGCATGTGAAGTGATTGCAAATATCATGGCTTGTGTCAGGTGCACCATAGTCCCCAAGGAGACAACTTTGCTATTCAGCATTTGAAAGAGGTCCTTTGCAGCCAACCTGCCCACTGCTGTACATTGTCTGATGTCCTGACATCTGCTTCCATTGGCATCAATTGTAGAACCAAGCAAGGTGAAGTCTTTGAAAACTTCAAATGGAGGAAAGGAAAGAAAAAGCCAGGGAGACATTAGCAGAGGGAGCAGAGGCAGGGGTCTAGGCACAGGAGAGACCCAAGTCCAATCCCCGAGTGGCAAGAAAGTTGGGGAAAGGAAAGAAAAGCCAGGGGAACCAGGACAACACGAACAGCAGCAGGGATCCAGGTAAGGGAAGGGTGGAGAGTTTGGAGACAAACTTATCTGTCGGTTTGTCGTACTGCAGTGGCTTGTTGCTTGGAGACCTGAGGCTGTGCTACTGGTGTTTCAAATGCCAGCAGGGTTGCACATGGTGCACATGTTTCAGTGTGGAGCAATTGTACTCTGCAAACATGAGAGCATCTTGAGTTGGAATCAACTTGAGAGCAACTTAGAAAAACAAACTTACAAACCAGAGAAATCACGTGCACAACCGTGATACCAAACACCCCTGCTGTCTTTTGCACAGGATTTGCTTCACAATTCTTTTCAATAGAGCCCTCTCTCCACCCTGAGCCTCAGGGAAACTCAGATCTACTTTCCCTTGCTTTGAATCATTTTTACTTTTTAGAATTTTTAATGAATGGAATCCTAGACTGTGTCTTCTATCCCGTCTGCTTCTTTCCATTGGCATAAGGATTCTGATATTTATCCATGTTATTGTGAGCGTCAGAAGTTCCTTATTTTTACTTGTTGTTAGATAAAGCTTTGTAGTTCAAGTATGTGACTACAAGTACTCACTTAGGTGTCATAATTAGATGTACAATAAATAAATGTGGGTTACTGAATATATTCTTTCTAGGCCCACCAAGATTTCCCTGGGAATGTAACTTGAGTCCTTAGTATTGACATCAAACAAGGAGGGTTAATGCAATAACAAGAATATAAAGTAGACCCTCTGAAACATTTAACAATCAGTATGAAGAAGCAAAGGGTTCCAGTGGTACAGTGGTTAGAGCATACAACTGCTAACCAGAAGGTAACTGACTCAAACCCACCAGCCATTCCACAGGAGTCTGCTTCTGTTAAGATGTTACAATTTTGGAAATCCTCTGGGCAGTTCTATAGTGTCCTATAAGGTCTCTTTGTTAGAATTGACTTATTGGCAGTGAGTTTGGTTTTGATATTAGTATTCTATTTATTTTCTACTTCTCTTATTAGTAATTTACTTGTTGGGGATTACTTGTTTCCAGTATTTGGCTATTGCTAATAGTGTCTAAGGCATG